GCTTTGTCTGGCCTCATAGTAGAGCAGAGATTTCCTTGGCCTCCAGGCTTATGCATGTGCGAAGAAATTGAACAGCAAACCCATTCCCCCAAACTGGACTACCATTGTAGGGAAATGGCCTGGAGGCAATGGAAATCTTCATTGCTGAAGGTTTGTTTTTTTTTTGTTTTTTTTTTTTTAAATCATGGAATCCCAGACAGTTTGAGTAAAATTGAAAATTAAGGACGCCAAAGAGAATTCCAAGACTCCAAGAATGATACCAGAATGTTTATGCCACTGAAACTCTTCCCAATAATCAAAATAGAATCTTGCAGAAGTTCATCCAGAACTGACTTCAGCTTTCTCTAGACCCAATTCTATAACTCTGGTCTTTTTTTTTGTTGAAGTAGAAAAGCAGTAGCTATGTAAGAAGTTGAATAAGGGCTATTGGAGGAACAAAAAAGTGACAATTGGATGCTCTGAGAGTAGGGAAGAAAGAGAAACAACAAAAAGCAGATAGAGGGGCTTTCAAAACACGGCAGAACAGTGGGAGCCGAATGAGGATAAACAGATTTATATGTTTTTCAAGCTACTGCGGCTGTTAATGTTTTTTAGTCTGTGAAACAACTGATGTTTGTATAATGATGTAACTTGGTATTAGGAATTGGTATTGGTTTTACATTGGGTAAAACATGCATGTTTAATTTAAGCAGGAAGATTTTTAGAAAGAGTTTTACTTTATAAAATTGTTTAAGAAGATTTGCATTAGGAATGGTTTAAATAAAAGCTAATGCTTTGATGCTTGAAGGGGGAGGGTTTTGGCAACTTAAGGCAGTGAGTCACAGTGCCATGGGTATAAATTTTATAACCAGGGAGCTCTGGGGTATGTGATATCCAGTAAGTCTGACACTATCTGTTTCCTTATCTGTAAAATGGGATTCATGTATGTCTACACAGAAAATGGGATTGTAATGAAGATTAAATTAAGTAACTGACCTATTCTAAATATCTGGCACATAGTAAAAATTCAGTATGTGGTGGTTGAATTCCTGAAAATGCAAATCCCCCATAATGGTAAGCAAATGATGCATTTTACATTTTTAATATGATTAGGCAACACTATTCAATAGAATCTAACCACATTCCCTGCTCTGTCCCTTTTTTACGCTATGAATTGCAAGACCTCCAGTTTAGCAGGGAATCAATAGTCACCTTTGGGCACTGGATTCACTACAGACACTTACATAGGCTCTTGGCTTTTTTAAAAGATGGGATGCTGCATGAAATTAAGGAAAGGAAGGAATTAACATAGTATTTCTCAAATACATTTCTTTAATTTTTAAAATAGATATTGCAACTGAAGCATTGTAAGTCATTATGATGGAAATGTAAAATACCAAAACAATTACTCCTTTTTATATGGCATAATGTGTTCACATAGAATTTATATATTATGAACTTCCAAATATTCAACTGTTTTTGATCTGCAAGAATAACAGGTGCATATGGTTCAACCTGTTACTTAAGCAAAGGTAATTGCCTCATTTTATTCATAGAAATGAGATATGGAATAAGTGAATGCATAGAGTTGAATATTTGTTCAATAGTTTGTATATGGAAAACTATATAAAGAAATAGTTTAGGCAAGGACATAAAGTTGTCAGTAGCGTTTGCTATCTTCAAGCTTAGCTACATACCCAGCAGCTGGTTGCTCCCACTCAGGAGTGATTCAGACCTGAACCCCTGCAGTTCTTCAGCTTCAGAACGGGAGATTAGTTCCTGCTTCCTCCCTGATACTGTGCCATTTCCAAATCCCACCGAGTCATCACTCTGCTTTCTGTATTTTTGGCTTTTTGACTTTTCTTGGTCTTGAGAATTATTTCCGAATTGGGTAACTCCGAAAATTAACGGGACTTTTCTTGAATGTTATAAAAGTAGCTGAGCGACTGACTTAAAGATGATGCAAATTGCTTTTTCTCAAATAAGCTCTTGATTTTATCTAGACTTGAAAGATTTTCTTCTGAAAACATTAGGACACCTTGAGGAATTTACTAACTATAGATTTTGGTGTAGTGATATTAGCAATTAATGAAGGAAGGTTTAACTGATATCTTTAGAGACTGACTATTAAGCCCTAAGGTTCATCAGACTATGAAGATTCGCACCTTTCTAATTTAAGAAGCTATTCCACCTAAACAGAATATCCTGCTTCCATTGGCTAATGGTAGAGACCCAGAATCATTAGCTAAATTAACTGTTTCATGTGGTTAGTCTTTAGAATGTTGTAAGCTGTAATGGAATTACTAAGTTGAGAGCAATTAATTGAATGTACTTCAAATACATTCTAACCCAGTTCTGTGCCTGTCATTCTTAATGACCGCTTAAAAGCTACCAAAAGAAAACTGTGATTGAATCTTAGTGCCATCAAACCAAACCATCTAGAAAAGTTTTAAAACGCCTCATCTCTGTATAGTTTATACCACCTCAGAGCCTGAAAAGTCATTGTGCATGCTGCCATTTAAGTATTATCCCAGAGCCCCACTGGTTTAAAGGAGGAAGTGAAAGTTTGGAATACTTTTTCTAGGTTTGTGAAGCCCGTAAATCCTAGAGGCAGGGATAGAATACATGTTTCTCATGTCTAGGACTCATGTCTTAGACTGGAAGTTGAGCTACCTCCACTGGAGCCACAGCGGACCTCGGATGAGCGGAGATGGCACAAGGTCTTGGAATCGGAAAGAGAGAAAGGACTGAGACGGGTGGAGAACTTAAAGGCAAAGCGCCTTTTGAAAGGACTGGCCATCATCTAGCTCCCCTGGTGGTTGTCCTGTGGGAAGGTGGTTCCAGTACCAAACACTGTGATTGTTTTACTACAGATCTGTGGAACTTTACATAAAATAATCACTTATTTAAATGGTAATAACTAATGCAAATTTTAAGTTCAAATTTAAAACACAAAGTTAAAACTATTTCAAATTTAAACCACATCCATGGGATGTCAGGAAGCAACCTCTGGATGAGATTCTAACATCTTCTGCAGATATATGAATGCTATTAAAATGAAGGATGTTGGTATGCTGTCTTTCATTAATATTTATGACAAAGCAAAGGAAATATTAAAAAAAACAGGGTATTTCATTAATCAACAGATAGTAGGTGCCCACTAGGTTGCCACAACATATTTATTACTAAGAACATATTTATTATCTTCTTACTATATAATGAATATTTATATTTATTAAAAAGGATAGATGTATTTACTGCATTTCTCTGGTTTATGAACAGGTTAGTTGAGGGGAGAAAGTAATTTCCTGGTAGGTTTATCAATTATAGAGAATGAAAATTATATTATAAGGGATGATTCTATGAAAGCTGAAGGTATAGTAAGAAGACTTTGCAAGTTACATACAGCATCATATACAGCTTGCAACACAAAAAGGGGGAGAGGGAGAATAGTATGAAGAAGAGAACATGTGAATATTTTATTCTAGATTGTGGCTTTCAAATTGAAATATTATTTTTGACAAAGTTGAAGTCAACATTTTATATAGCTGTAAGTTAAGGAAAATGCCATGGGGAAATATATAGATGCTATGAAATAACCTTTAGTTCCCTGAGGAGTTAGAAGGGACATGTAGAAGAGAATCATGGGGCCCGGCGTGTCATTTAGCCGCTCTGGAAAACACACCGCGTCTGTTCAGTAGAAAAGGTAAAGGGCAAGGAGTGAGGGTCTGTTTCTATTTTTGGCATTTGATTGCTCTGGGACCCGAGGAACAGAGTGTCACCTTTTGGCACTCGGGTCACCCTGTATGTCAAAAACAGACAATGTGTATCTCAGACATTTTGTGCATCAGTTTCAACATCTCTAAACCACTTGCAAATTTTTAAAATCAAGGCTACCGCACAGGCAGGGAGTGCTATTCTCTCTCTCCATAATTTACACATTTTTGACAGAGAATTGTGATGGCCAGCCACCACTCAGAGGCCTACTGGAATATTTTTGTTTGCTTTAAATCTCTGCTCATCCCAGAACCCATCATGTTTATTTCCAAGCAATGTTCTTTTTATACACTTTCTCTTCCCATTTAATTTAAATGAGAAAGCAGCTCTGGGCAGAGTCGTTATTTAAACTGCAGTCTCCATGCTCTCATCTGGAAGTTGGGGCATCCATACATGTGAGGCTGCGGTTGGATAACAAGACGAATATGTTACGTGCAAAAGTCCAGGGACCCAGCTATCAAGAACAGATTATATAAAGTGCATTTTCTTTGTATCCTTTACAAGTTTTCCTCTGCCAGCTTTGAGTGAGATGCTAACTTTATCTTTTACTCATATTCTTATTTTTATTCTTTAGAAAAATAGAACATAGATGAGGAATTTGAAGATTAAATTTATGAGTAAAAATGCACTTACCTCTCTCTGTCTTAGAGCTCAGTGTACATTATGGAACATAACACCTATCTACTCAAACTATACATGAACCTTCAGACCAAATTTCCAAATAAAGGCAAACACAGAAAAGAGTCCACACTTATAGAAGAAATCATTCTCTAATATTACCTAATGCCCGACTTTCAGGAAATTAGATGAGTTCATGTTATTTATTGTAATCTATTATCCAACCTTCTTGGGAATTGACCTCAGTAAGTACAATGTTCTCACAGTTCCCATCAATTCAATTACATTGAATTACAAGAATATTTTGCATGCACACACACACATACACACATATATACATTCACACGCATATACTTCTTGACATTTGAAGAGTGATATAAAAATCAGAGGCTCTAGAATATAAAACAGGGAAGAAAGAAGAATAATCTGCAAACATTTGGCTGCATTTTACATGTTGAGCCCAATATAAGACATGTAGGCTTTTACCTACGGAGCTCAATACAGGACATGTAGTCTTTACAAATATTAGCGTATTAGCAAAGTCTTATTGGGGAAAGAAACGGATTTTTAAAACAAGTCTGCTTTGCGAGTTCTCTCTTCCAAACCAATGCCTACAGATACTGTACCTTCCGGAGGGGTTTGAGCTTGGTCTCCATGATGAAGTCATACTTGCAGAGCTCACAGCAGCGCGTGTCCGAGCTCTTGATCCACTGGTGGAGGCAGGACTGGTGGACAAAGCGCAGGGTGCCCGTGCAGCGGCAGGGTGTGATGAGGGGACTCTCTTCGTCTCCTTCACAGTGACAGATCCTGGGAAGGACACAGCAGCCAGGATGAGATCTCCCAGAGAACACATTTCATCAGTGGACATCTCCTTCTCTCATCCCAGGCTGCATTGGGAACTGCACGCTAAGCTCCATAATGCAAGAATGTTTCTTTGATCTTGATGCTAGAACTGAACCTGTGACTGATATTAATTTTGTTTCATTTGCATAGTCATTGCTGGACTCTTAAGTCATATTGCAGGGTTTTAAACACTGGAACATTCTTACACTGAAGCCAGCTTTAATAGCACAGTGACTGACCTCTGTTCCTAGTTTAATCTATTTAATAGGTCAGTGTTTATGACATAGGCCTGCTTTCATACATAAACGCTATGACTTCTAAGTATCCTAAGGAATATTATAATCTAATGACCTCATTCTTTTATTTTGATGCTAATTTTACAGGACATGGTGTATAATTTAGTACATAGAGTATTCTACCCATGTAGAAGAATTCTGAAAAATTTAATACATTACCAAAGAATAAAGTGGACACAGAAAGTCTCAGCTTGGAAATATCACAAAGGTGTTCCTAGGAAGATGTGCATAAATTTGGTCACAATGAATGGCCTAAACTGCCAACAGTTATCATTGTTTAGAAGTCACAAAGATTACTGGCTACATAAAGTTCAAGTATAGTAAATCCTATTGTTTTAAAGTATTAATTACTATATCCTCCAAGGAATTCAGAGTTCAATTCATTTCCTGAATTACCATGAATTTTGGTGTCATAGATTCACAGCCTATGAAATTATCATTCTCATCTCCAAATTTTAAAAAGTAATTTGTTTTCCTCATTGGATGAGATAAGCTTTTCTTACCTCAAGGTTGTGAATTAAAATCCTAGTACTTCTACAATTCTTATGCTTTAACCAGCTGTTAAAGTTGATACTAAATTTAATGAGAAATATTGCCTGAAATCTGTTAGAAATAAGAATGGAACATTAGAAAGAATCTGTCTAGTTGCACTTTTTGGGCTGAGTCTCCGTGGCACACTGGAAGAATGTTTAAATTGCTGCCGCTGCTCTTTCCTTTGAGGTCTATGTGCTCTACCCTCCAGAAACACGGGCTTTAAAAAGTGAACTTTTAAAACACCCTTATCTGCCCCAGCGGCCTCCCTGGGGGAAATGACATGGCTGCTCAGATTGTTGTTGCGGTGAGATACAGGAATTGAAACCCAACCCTTCCCTAACCTTAAAATAAAGAAGTGTGACACCGTGCAGTCGTATTTTGAATCTCTTTGCCTTAAGTAAAAATCAAGTTAGCAGAAAGAAACACGGACTTCCAAAGTCCAGGGGGTGCGAGTAGGGTCTGCCTCCCCTGGGCTGAGTTAGGAAGTAACAGTGTTGGTTTAGCAGCACATACAAAAGGCTGACGTGGTAGGGACACACTCAAAATTATCTGAGAGACTATTTCTTTTTTAAATATGAAAGCCCCAAATATTTACTCTTTCCAAAGGTGTAGGTCCTAAAGATGAGGGCCTGGCACACATTATATCACACCCATTGCCAGTAGGGTGTTGGGTGCACGCGGATGCTCAGCAGAGGGTTTCTGAGGAAAGGAACTATTCAGCCAACAAACTATGGCTTATCATAAAAGCAACCAGTGAAAGCAAACCTGGGTTTTTACTGCACTTCATTTTGTTGTGATACTCATTGTTGGAGCCTGTGAAACAATGAATTATACAGCATAACAGGTTGCTATTTCTTAAGCTTTGACGCTTGTATCTCCCTGCCTCCACACAGAGATGCTCCTTTAGATCAGGGGTCAGCAAACGCTGGCCCAGTTTTTCCTGCTGCAGGTTTTTGTAAATAAAGTTTTACCGGAACGCAGCCACACACACTGTTTATGTATCACTCAGGGCGACGTTTGCGCTGTGCCCGCAGATTTGAGAGTTGCTACGGAGGCCGTGCGGTGCCAGAGACTAACGCATTTACTATCCATCCTGTTACAGAAAACGTCAGCTAACCTGTTTTAAACAGGGGTTTATGAGTTAAGGATAATTTGTGAACATCAACAACAATAATAGAAACAAAGTTTACCCAAAAATCCCCTCAACTTCTGCAAGGAACAAAAGTTGAAGTAAAGGTTACATGGAGACGCGTACAATAAACATGACAGTCCTTCCAGTCTGTCATCGAAACCCTGGGGGCACAATTTCTCATTTGAAAAACAAAAACTTATGGTTAATACCATCAGATAATTCATCACTAAATATGATTGTGTCAATGGAATACTATTCAGCCAATAAAAAAATGAAATACTGCCGTTTGTGAAAACATGGATGGACCTTGAGAATATTAGGCTAAATGAAATAACTCAGACAGAAAAAGTTGAGAACCATATGATTTCACTCAGATGTGGAATAAAAACTGAAAGCAACAAATGAACAAACAAGAAAACCAAACAAAAACTCATAGACACAGACAAAAGCATGGTGGCTACCAGAGGGATGGGGGTTGGGGAGGGTAGTAAACAGCAAAGGGAATCAAATACATGGTGACGGAAGATTTGAGTTTGGGTGAGGGGCACACAATACAATACACAGATGATGTATCATAGCATTGTACACTACACCTGTACACTACACTGAACCCTATATAATTTTATTAACCAATGTCACCCCGATAAATTTAACTTTAAAACTGCCAAAATGAAACCCAATGATATCAAATGTTGCACAGCTGCCAAGGCGATTCTGAGACTCTGATTTTTACTGATGTGAAAAAAGTAATTTATTCATAAGCAGATTTAAGCAATTGACCTCACTGATTATGGAATTCAAATGACTTGTGAGTTTGCTGACTATGTAGTCCAACTTACTGTGTCTTATAGACTCCTTTTAAAAAATTTCTGTTAAACTGTTAATTGAAGCACTACCAGCAATATCATCTTGTTATATAAAATTAAGATTATTTCCCATAGGAAAAACCAAATTCACATTTTCATTTCCAATTCACAAGATGTATTTTTGCATTATTTTAGCATTCTAAATTATTCGACTGATGTTGGGTCCCAAGAGTCTTTTTTAAACCATGTTGAGGTTGTTCTGAATGAAATTAAGAGCTAACTATAAACTTCAAATATCATCTAGAAATAAAAAATAAAGTGATAGTCCATTATAGAAAGAATTAAACAAGTCTTAACTTGATACACTTTATACAAACCACAATTGCCAAATTATAAATGAAAACATAAACATGATTTTTTCCAACAGAATGACTATGTAGACAAAATAATTTTAATAATAAAACTGCATTGTAAAGTATTCATAATTTTGATGAACTTTTGCCTTGTGGGTAAAATTATGGCTTATGGTTTGAGTGATTCTGTAAATTTTTAAAATTAATTTCATTTATTTTTAGAGAGAGGGGAAGGGAGGGACAGAAACATCAATGTGTGGTTGCCTTTTGCATGCCTCACTGGGGACGTGGCCCACAACCCAGGCATGTGCCCTGACTGGGAATTGAACCGACAACCTTTTGGTTCACAGGCCAGCACTTAATCCACTGAGCCACACCAGCCAGGGCAAGATTCTATAAAATTTTTGGTGATCTTCACTGGTGTCTTTTTTGGGGCATTTTTTTGTATATGAACTGGCTGCTTACTGTTTAATCAGCAGATATTGAGACTTTCACATTTTATAACTTCAATAAACTTCCATATAATTTCTTACTCTCTGTGAAAAGCAGACCATAAAATGCTATTTTTCTAATTAAACTTTGAAAATTGTGTGTGTACTCACTAAAGCTCCTTCCTTATTGTTTAAGTTTATTAAAAAGTAAGCTTTTTTGCCCTGGCTGGGTCTCAGTTGGTTGGAGCATTGTCCTGTACAACAAAAGGTTGAGGGTTCAATTCCTGGTCAGAGCACATACCTAGGTTGAGGGTTTAATCCCTGCTCAGGGTGTATACAGGAGGTAACCAATTGATATCTCTCTCTCACATCTTTCTTTCTCTGTCCCCCTTGCTCTCTCTCTAAAATCAATAAAACATATCTTTGAATGTGGATAAAAAAAGTAGGCTTTTATTTCTTGGTCTTATATATCTTAAAATCTCCTCCACAGCTTCCCAACCCCCACCTTATCAAGGCTTCTTAATTCTGATAGAATAATAACATTTTTTTCTGCCTAAGTTGTTAAAAAATACTTTATCAGTAAAGAAAAATATTCATGAAGGACCTAGTGATTGTGTAACTTTGGAATTTTTCATTCACTCATTTGTCCTTCTATTCATTCACATTTTATTGGTTCTTGCTATATGCAAAGAAAGTTAGACAACAGCATCAGCAGGTAGGCTAAGTTGAGAGCGAGAGAAAAGAACCTGCAGGCAGGGGCCCCGTTTGAGTAACCATCATGGTCATCTAGGTATTAAGACTCTGAAACGCTGTGGTGACACTGGGGGGACAGGGAGCCTCTTGGCCTGCTGCGTGTGCGGAGATCCCGAGGACCTCACTGGGTTTGTTTCCCTGGCTACCTGTGGCGGCATCTCACGTATCTCACGTTTACAGGATGCGACCCTGAAGGCTGTCACCCATCTGTAACCTTCAGACAGCTCCTCATGTGCAGGACTGTCACCTCTCTCCATATTCCACGCCATCTTCCTCTTTGCAGCAAATCTTTCTGATAGACCCCCTCACTTCCTTGCCTCCATGTTTCTTCATACTTCTCTCCAATTAAACAATCTCTAAGCACAGCAATTATGGACACTGCTTGGTTTGTAATGGTTTAATCTGGATGTTGTTCTTTACTCAAAATTAATCATCATACTTCCAAGTTTGGCACTCGTTCTTTGAATTCACTTTACCAAGCTAAAAAATGATTAGAATACATGTTGGTCAGAGCCATGTACAGAGATATTAAGCTGGGGGTGAGAAATGAATGCTCAAGAAAATGAGTGAGGAGATATAGTCATTATTTTTAATAGGTTTCTTGTTTGTAAAGCTGAGGTAAAGGTACCAAAGGGAGGTCTTCCTTTAAAAAATAAGCA